CAGCTATGCAAAAAGTACTCTTGTAGCTAAAGCAAAAATATCGTCGAAATACCTTTTGATGGCAGAAATATCAATAATGATGGAAACGATTTTGATAACTTGACTCAATTGAATTATTGTACTGTTCAAGCGCACTCATCTGATATATTCATATATAGCGTAGTGTTACATATATACACACGGGTACACCTAAATACAGTAAGCATTAGACTGCAAATAAGACATCACCAATAAAAATCTCAAATACATAAGCTACTAAACAGATGCAACATCGGTTGCGTACTAGCGTATATTCTCCTCCATATGCATGCACAATTGAGCAGAAAATTTCACCAAAAAAATATAACAAAAAATTAAAAAAAAAGTCTTCTTCTTTAGTAGACAAAGAAGTATCTTTTATTTAAAAAAAATGTTGAAGTTGAAATATAAAATGTTATACGCAAGAGTCTACTTAGAAAAGTGCATGTAGCGAAAGTACGAGATACTCTTATTTTGCAACTACAAGTGTGTTTTCTTGCAAGTAAACATGTTATATTGCGTTAATATTTATTCCTTATTTTATATAAATAAATTTAAAATTGACAAGGTTAATAAAAAGTATTGAAAAATTTTACTTCCAAGATGAATGTTAAGTATGCGTTACTTTTGAAAAATACAATATTATTCGTAAGTGTTATGTAGATATTGTGCATATACTTTATTTATCTAGGATAATTTATGCCGATATAGCGATAGTGCCCTTCAAATATGCAATAGATGGTTTACTAAATTCAGTAAATTATTTAAAATTCGTAAAGACAAAAATCTTGAAGTACAAAGGATAGTGTTTTACTTTGGACACGAGGAGTGATCACAACAATATACCAATTAAACTACTTAACAGAAAAGAAGAGTATAATGAAGAGGATTGAAGTCTTGAAGAGGATGTCTTGAGTTAAAGAAAATGTCATAGAATTCTATAACAAATTTTTTGCGTTACTCATAACAAAGAATATCAGCAGATTTCTTAAATCTGTGCCAA